GCCTATATAGCTAGTGGAACACTCTTCAAGTGCCACTCACTCACAAGCACACCACGCGCGCACAAATTTGAACTCGTTCGGACTCGGGAGTACTCAGCAGGTCGGGATCGGAAGCGAGATCATGGGCAGCTCGTTCGGGCTCGTGGACTTCAGGGGGAGGCCGGTTGACACCAGCAGGCATGGAGGAGTCAGAGCTTCCATGTTCATTTACAGTAAGTGAACTCATCGCCTCTGCTTTCCTTCATCAGCAGTGTGAGAGTGGATTGCTGGCTTCATAGTGTCTTGACATCGGTTTAAGCCACAACTATTTTCGGACGGAGGGAGTATACAATACCATGCTGCATATGCCCTGGTTTCAGACTAGCTCGCTCGGACACTTCTTAGAGAAGCCAAGTCTGAACTTGTAACAACGCTGCTGTGTACATATACAGTCATGGTGTGGCTCGGCAACGTGGCCAACATCGCCAACAGCATGAACATGGTGAGCTACCTCCGCGGGACGATGAACATGGGCGTAGCCGCGGCCGCGACCACCAGCACCAACTTCGTCGCCGCGCTGCAGATGTTCACCGTCCCGGCGGCTTTCCTCGCCGACTCCTACGTCAAGCGCTTCTACACCGTCCTCATATTCGCCCCCTTTGAGATTTTGGTAACCGACCAACTCGTCCATGCATATTCGTTACTCTACGCGTTTTTGTTTTGTTTTGCGAGTAGCGTCTAGTTTGTTTTCAAGGAAAAAAAATGCTACGTAGAGTACGTAAGAGTCCCTAAAGTAATTAACCATAAAAAAATAGAAAATTACAACCATATACTCCCTCCGTTCCTAAATACTTGTCTTTTTAGGCATTTCAACAAGTGACTACATACGAAGCAAAATGAGTGAATCTACACTCTAAAATATGTCTACATACATCTGTATGTAGTAGTCATTTGAAATGTCTAGAAAGACAAGTATTTAGAAACGGATGGAGTAGTTTTCTATGACACTTCGGGGAACAAAGCTAAATGCATAATGCAGCTGCAGCTAGCTGGTGTTACAATAATTATAGCGTTTCTTCCCTCTTATCTTAATAGTGGAATAATGCTGTACAGTGCAAAACTCTTTGCCTGTTCGGGAAAGAAAAAGCATGCAAGAATGAGATGTTCTACCTGTTTGCCACTTTAGTTGTTCGGTTGTTGCAGTGTCTCCATTTCTATTATTAGGTTAGTGGAATATTATTGGGGGCATGAGCTGATGTTATGTAGTGTCTATTATGTGGACAATATCATTTTTTATTATTCATTGTTTAAAAGGAGCCAAAGTTTTGCCTCATTCATTAATTAAGAAAAAAAAGAGTTCCCAATTAATTGACGGAAAACCGGACGAAAAGCCGTCAAAAACTCGCCCACATGCGAACTACTCTAAAACAATGTAGTCACACAACCCCTCAACAAATACATCCAACATAGAATCAATACTGCCCCCAAATACATGGGTCACACCAATTGAACCACACTGACACACAACATCTTGAGAAGGACATAACGATAGAGACAATAGATACATCCAAACCCACGTTTGCAACTAAGACAACTCTATCATGAAAGCACATTCGTCTCCCTATTATTGCTCTTGCCATTGCATTTGCTAGCTTTCTTCTTCTTGTGGATGCCCGATTGAGGGTGAGCACCATTCTGCTTGCATTTGTCCCTTGATGCCATCTGCCACAAGAGACGTCCAATCATTTTTCCGGATTTATTCAACCGAAACTGCTGTGCAGCCGAAATTGCATGCACGACATATAGCCGATAGTCAAATCCAACGGTGCACCAGTGTTGCTGCCATGCATTGTATGGCGTGATCTTCAGTGTCGTCCTCAAATCGTGCGGTGGCATCGTGTGTATAGCAATGCTCTTATTCAACAAGCTGCAACAGATGGGTTCAACTGATCCATTCAACTTCCAACAGATTGCCTTGATGTATTGACATATATTGCCCGCCATTTTTCTTCTGTTCGAACTTTCGAAGTAACTAACTACTTCATCCGTTTGAAAATAACTATCGCTCAAACAGATGTATCTAGCACTGCAATATGTTTGGTACATTATTAATTTAGTATGGTATCAAAGCCAATTGGTCTTAAGTTCAACACCCTACCATTGTACTATTAAAAAAAGTAGGTATGGCCTACACCACCAGCATGCTTAAGTTTCAGAAACATGCTCGTCCCGGTGCTTCCAGATCGTCTAGGGCACGAGCAAGGTGGCAGATGCCATTGTTGCACTCGTTGGCAGGATCAAAATTCAAAAACGAGGCATCGTCCTAGGCTACGACAGGTGCTCTAGGACTCAGGGATGTCCACTAAATTTGCTACCCCCTTTTTGTACCTTGCGCCTCCTAGGAGGATTGTAACAACTTCTACAACTACCATCCTTGTTGCTATTCAAGAACTGAATATATAGTTGTTGAGTTTCAAGATTGAAATACATATCTAAGTTTCAATATAAACCATTTCTACTGCAGGGTTACATCCTGCTAGCCATCCAAGCACACGTCCCCTCGCTTCACCCGCCGGCGTGCGGCGTCAACGAGCCGCATAACTGTGAGCCGGTGCACGGCACCAACCTAAGTCTGCTTCTCCTTGGCATGTACATGATCTGCATCGGTGAGGGAGCCATCCGGGCATGCCTACCAGCGCTCGGTGGCGACCAGTTCGACAATGCTGACCCCGTTGAACGGCGGCTGGAGTCGAGCTTCTTCAACTGGTACACCTTCTCTGTGTCAATGGGATCCTTCTTCGGGCTCATCTTCGTCGTGTGGCTGGAGAACAACAAAGGGTGGGGTGTTGGCTTTGCTGTGTGCGCTGCGATCGTGCTGCTTGGGTTGCTAATTTGGGCGGCTGGGTTCCCCTTCTATCGCAACCAGGTGCCAACTGGGAGCCCCATCACTAGGATTATGCAGGTAATCAATTAATACATGAGCTTTGAATTATTTCAATTGTTCTGAAAGAAACATTTGAATCATTTTTGTTCGAGGTTTACAATAGTACTATAAGTTTTAGAGGGATTTTTTTATCGTGCAAGGGATATATGGTGCATACATACACCACCTGCCGTTGCTTTGAAATTTGTGCCACTTTTTTGTTTTTTTTTTGACAAAAAAATTGTATTGTTTCGAAGTATTACATAATATTTTCTTGGGTTTTCTTTTAATTTGTATCATAATGTTCCATTAAGTACCAGCGAATTCATTTGAAACAAGTGCACTCTTGATTGCTTGTATACAAGACGAAAAAAACCTATGAAACATTATGTATTTATGTAACACTTGTTCTTTTTTTAACAAAAGGGCGGCCTTCCTCTCCTATTTTAATTTATGAAAATTATCTAGTTCATTATGTAACACTATGAAACGGAACCAAATTTTGTCACCGTGGCACGGATCTCAAAACAGCGACGAATATCCCATGCATGATAATATATCATTTCCGCAATTTTTTTACTAATGCCGGCAAGTCTTCTTTCAGGTTATGGTAGTAGCATGCAAGAAAAGGAATTTTAAGCTACCTGGGAACCCTGACGACTTAAACCAGATGAGTGACGATAACGCTAAAGGCCTCGAGGTGCTACACAGAACAGAAGGCTTACAGTACGTCAAAATCAGACCTAAATATTACTGTATGTCCTGTTGTCAGTTTAATTATGGTTCCAAAACAGAATTGTGTGAGTGTGACTCGTCTCACCATCTTCCAGGTTCCTGGACAAAGCAGCAATAAAAATAGAGAACGGGGCGAGAGGGCCATGGTCGCTCTGCAACGTGACCCAGGTGGAGGAGACAAAGATTATGTGCCGCATGATCCCGATCTTCGTAACCTCGGCGCTCGGCTACATGCCCGTGTCCATCATCCTCAACTTCACCGTCCAGCAGGGCAACACCATGGACACCAGGCTGGGCGCGACCACCGTGTCCCCCGCGACGCTCTTCGTCATCCCGACCGTCTTCCAGCTGGTGATCCTGGTGGTGTACGACCGGCTGCTCGTCCCGCTCCTGCGCAGGGCCACCGGCTACGTCGGCGGCGTCACGCACCTCCAGCGCATCGGCGTGGGGTTCGTGGCCGCGGTGCTGGCCAGCGCCGTCGCGGCGCTCGTGGAGACGAGGAGGAAGGCGGTGGCGCGCGGGAGCGGCCTCGTGGACTCGCCCGCCGGGGTCCCACTCCCGATGTCCGTGTTCTGGCTGACGCCGCAGTTCTTCCTGCTCGGGGTGGTGGACGTCACCTCCTTCGTCGGCCTCCTCGAGTTCTTCTACAGCGAGGCCTCCGCCGGGATGAAGTCCATCGGGAGCTCCGTGTTCTACTGCATGCTGGGGCTGGCCGCCTGGTTCTCCACCTTGCTGATCCAGCTGGTGAACCGGGCCACGAGGCGGGGTGGTGGGGAGGCAGGGTGGCTGGACGGAGCCAACCTCAACAGGAGCAGGCTTGATTCCTTCTACTGGTTGGTCTGTGTTCTTGAGCTGGTCTCCTTCGTGGTCTACCTGTTCTGGGCGTGGAGGTACGTCTACCGGAATGACCAAAGGGTTGCCGCTGAAGACGACAAGAAGACTATTCCATCAGCTGCTTATGTGGATGGGATCTGAATCAATATGTTGTGTACTATACTATCGATCGAGCTGGTAAAGTTGCTTTGCCAAGACAGATTGGTTGCCATGCCCATGCATGACGCTGAACTTCCTTTCGAGCTCTCGCGAGTCGCGATAGTACCACCGTGTTACTGAAGACGCACTGGAGCTCAAATGCACCTGTATTAAATAATAAAATTAATAAAGAAACAAAATAATGTATTTTTTGCAGCAAACGTTGTTGAATGCTGTACATATACGTACAATTTTTCACTAAGAAAAACATTTCAATGCTCTAGACAAAAACAAAAGCAAAATCGGTGCTTCAGAATGCTTTCAATTTTATTTTTTTTTGAATGCATGCATGGGGTGGATGGCAATAATTTTCCCCAGCGCGATGGCCTAACCCCTCACTCTGGATTCGCTTGCAATCCCCTCTCATTTCGACTCTGCTCTTCTACATTGTCTTGGCCCTCATTCTCCGCCACACCCTGACATCGATGGCTGACTGGAGACTGGGGATGATGGAGATAGTTGGGACGAGGTGAAGATGGCGAGGATGCAAGATATCTGTTCATGGTTTGCAAGCAAGAGCGAGCTCAACAAGGTGGTTCTCATTCTCCGCATCACCATGACATCGATGGCTGGCTGGAGACTTAGGATGGTGGAGATAGTTGGGACTAGGTGAAGGTGAAGATGGCGAGGATGCAAGATATATGTTCATGGTTTGCAAGCAAGATCGAGCTCAACAAGGCGGCGATGGGTATTTGTGCGGATTTGATGGTGGAGGAAGACGAGGCTCACGCTGAGCAGGCTGCCGGTGCGGCCACTAGAAGTTGTGCTCTGCGCCATGGGGGAGGTGGAATCCGGGGATCCAAAGCAGGCATGGAAGTGGCGTACATTTCGCTTTCGCCGCCGAATCCCCATTGACCGAGAGGAAATTGAGGTGGGAATGGTGATGCCTCTCCCGTCGTCGGGGATGAAGGACATGCCTATCCAAATCGAAGACGGTGAGCCAAGGGTTCGCACGAAGAAGAGCACGGAGGTGGTCGTGGTCTACACATCGTGGCGGTCACCGCGCTTCCCTCGCTGTTCCCCGTGTTTTCTCAGCCTCGCTCCCCCCGCGGCGGCGGAGTAGGGATCACCCCTGTTGGCAACCACTTCTGGTTGCTTGCTGGGGAGGATTCTGATGAGGAGGCTGGGCACTCGTAAGATTCCATTAGTAAGATCCGCTCCTATGTTAAATTAGACCATGATGGCGCGCGTTGCTGCGCCCTTTCATTTGTAAGTTTAGATGATATGATTTTCTATAAGTATACTGAGGTAAAACAGATAGAAGTATTTGTAACTTAGGAATTTCAGGAATTTCAATGATAGAGATTGCAGTTTAAATGTATCATTTCTGCAGAAAATGTCAAAAATTTGTAGCATACGGACAGCAAGATTTAATATACTCCTGCTGTAACAAAATATAAGATGTTTTTTTGACAATATGGCAGTGTAAAAAAGTATTATATTAAATTACGGAGGGAGTGTATTATAAGATTTTTCGACATGCACATCCATTATTTAATCTCAAGATGATATAATGGCTCAGTCTCACGAAGGTGCTCATAGGGGTAGGGTTTGCGTGTGTTTTCATTGGATGAGTGTATATGCGTATATATGAACGCCATCTGTATAGTGTTCTGATAAAAACATATATAAGAAGTCAACTAAAAGCGGTTTGTTATTTGCAAGTCCATCATGCTCTCTTAAACAATAGACTACAGAAATTTAGCAGTTAACAAAATATTCATCCAATCAAAGCCTTTTAGAATCATAGTAATCAACCATAATTTTATTGTGAGGTCACATTTATGAGCTATCTTCCATGCAAATTAAGAAATTAACACAAGTGAAAATTGAATAGGCTCTTCGTCTGAATGGAAATCCAAGTCGTTTGCTTTAGAACATAATTTATATCTGATACCATCCATATATTCTTGGAGTGCAGTAAGAAAAAAATGCTTCTAAAATCCAATGGCCCAGTTGATTTTGTATCATATATAGTGGTAGGATCAAGTGACCACCAAACTGCCAACCACTACAGGATATCCAATTATCCATACCGAATATCAAAAGTTGATCCAGCAAGTGAAAGGAATTGGAAGTTTAATAATGGTACTCTATCTATTTTTTTTTTTCAGAAACACATATCATCTGGGACAAGAAATTGTTGAAGAATGATAACTGCTAACGAACTGCCGTACATTTTTTTGAAAAAAAGAACTGTTGTAGAGAAACCAACAGATGCACTCACTCAAATATGGAGCAGCTCATCTTCACGGTAAAATTTTAAGCTCTTTATAGTTTATTAACATTCAAATTATGCAATACCTGCAGGAAAGGGCAACTGATTACCTCGAACATGAATGGGGAAATGATGTCGTAAATTATTTCCCATATATATAAATAGCATTAACTCGTTCTTTACTCTGCGGTTTTTCTTTTCCCTTGCTCTGCTAGCTGGGCTTATACTTCAGTTCTGTTGTCCCAAAACACAGTCCACAGTCCACACACCACAGTCCATTTGTCCCAAAACCACAGGAGGCATCTGAAATTGTTTCTAGAGCAGCGGCCCAGTCCCATTAGGCCCTCGGTGCTGAATGTACAAATCCAGTACGAGGGATTTAAGGGCCACGAACATCCAAAGCGCAAATCCAACGGTTCGCAACACTAATGGCCTGAGAGGGCTCGATTAGTGCGCAGCTTTAATGTTTCTAAATATCCGCACTCTGCTTTGTGTATTGGTAAAGAAAGAATTGCTACACGGAAGGAAAAAAAGGAACAAGAAAAGTAGCAACAATAGCAAAATTCACTCTATCTTCCTGTTGTAGGGGGGTTGTAGCATTGATACAAAGAAATTGGAGATAGATTGTCTGAAGAAAAAATAAAGACGGTTCTTTGTTCCTAGAAATAGATAACAAAAATTTGAGACATAAGAACGATTGTGCTGGAAAAAAAGTGATATGTGCTATGATAGTTACAGAGCATATGTGTGAGGGAAATTTCCCGGTCATCCCTGATTTTTTGGTCAGAGGATGTGTTAGATTTGGAGGATTTAGTTCTTGATAATTGCAGAGTCGCAAATCTAGTGTCTAATTCTAAACAAAAGTCAGATATTGTGGATGGTCCTTATGTTTAAAAAAAATCATGAAGACTGGGCCATCTAGGAGGGCCTGGGCTATACTAGAGGCCTATTTTCGTAATGCGCTTTCTAGTTCTTTGTGTCATATAAATAGCCTCCTCTTACTCTAGATTGGGCTCGAGGGTGAGCTCCCTGTAGAATTAGGGGTTCCCTGTGTGCTGCTAGTGAGCTTTGAGGTAGAGATGGAAGGGAATTTTGGTAGATTCAGAGGGTTTGGAAGATTCAGTACTGGTGATAGAGATGATTTTCAGTACCGTAGAAAGGAGGATGAGGGTAACAAATTTAGAAACAACAACCCTCGCGAGGGGAGGATTGATAATGGCTTCAGGGCTGGTGAGATGAGTATGGATCAGATTTTTCATGATCTGAGGGGCCCCAATCCTTCCAGAAGAAGTGTTGATGTTGGAGGTTCCAGTTCGCTGATCATAGGAGAGGCTTTGAGGGAAACTTTTCACAACAAGGAGATAAGGTAATTGCTGGAACACCTGATCAGATCAATACTAAGTTTGCTCATGATCAGATTCAACAACAACAACGGTTTGGGGCACTATTGGCTCAGCTGGAGCAGAGCAGTCAGCAACTGAATGTTCCTGCTATGGCTAGTTCCTCCAATCGTGTCGGCCAAGGGCTTGAGAGTGGTGGTGAATTGGAGAAAGGAAAGACTAGTGGTGATAGTGCTGGGGGTGTGCCTGGTAATCAGAACAATGGAACTTCTAGGGGAATCATAGATCATAGGGGCATTCTTTGGATTCTGATAAATTTGGTGCTAGGTCTGGGCAAGATGGTGGGAAAATGGGATCTAGATATAGGCCCATGTGTGCTGCCCTTGTGAGGACTAAAACCGTACTTATCTACTAGCTGGAGCCGAGGCACCAGGATTCCCCTCCTCACCACCGGAGCAGCATGCAGAGGGGAGGCGAATTCACGGGCTCGCCGACAAAGCTCGAGGAGAGAAGTTCTCCCTAATCGCAGGGAAAGAAAAAGATGTTGTATAGAAGTAAATATCGTAAATGTATATAAGCCAAATGCTATTCTACTACTATCAATCACTCACAGTGAAGCTAGATGATTCAGGTGTTGATAGACGCACACAAGAAGCAAGCCCAAAACAATGAGAAACAACTCCAAATGAACGGGATGCAAACCTAAATCAACGAGATGCAAGCTAAGAGAGGGAAATTTAAGAAGCTTCGCCTTGCGCCCCTAATTGATGTAATGATTTGGTTCATACTCTCTGGATCAGCATTAGTTTTTTTAGTGGGAGCCTTTGCATTAATGATGTTCTTTGTTTAGATGATGACGAGTAGAGTTATCTAGTATGTACTCTCTTTGTTCCTAAATATAAGACGTTTTGGCAGTTCAATTTGATGGATAGTAACACTATAACGTTTAGAATTCAAATAGTTACATTCCTATTGATTCACTACGTAAAATTTGACATAAGAAAATAAAAGTATAGGTCATAAGACAAGAAAATTTGTAGTTTATGTGTATTTTAGACTATGTTTTTACGTTTGTAATTTTACATAACATAAAATATTTTTTACGGTGATTATATATTTTCTTACGGTCTCTTTTTACGTCCGAAATAAGACAAAACTTACGGAATGTAAAATTACGGTGCATTGATGGTAAAATAGAGGGGGGGTGAAGAATAACTATTCCTCAACCAGGGTGACGAATAGCGCGACCATATATATATATATATATATATATATATATATATATATATATATATATATATATATATATATATTATGTTGATGCTTAACCTAGTTCAATATCAATATAGTGTTATTGCAATAGGCAAATGGGCAGTTTAGTTATGCTATATGTGTAATGTTAATGTGATACCTAATTCAAATTATATGATGAACTAGTGTAAACGTGTGTTTCAAATGAGTTTGTGTACAAAATTTATGTTTAATTTTTCTGAGAGATTAAGTTTTAGGTGATTTGCTAGATGAAGAAATGTTTAAACCCCTAAAAATTGGCAAGGGACTGAGATAATAGATACGGTTTGAACTTTCAGGATAGGGGATATGCTGCTAAAGATTATTCTTGTTTTGTGTTGATCCGTGCATCAGTACGTACAAGCGCACGGTACAACGAGTTCGCTTTATACTACTCCATATGCTATATATATAATTTACTATTGTATGTAGCATATGTGCTTATATATGTTGGGTACAAATGGCGCTTGCAACATTAGTGTTTGACTAAATCCGCCTGACAGTAACCGATTAGCCGGCCCATGATTCCAAAACTGGAGATCGACCAAACAATTGAAGGACCGGGAATGCTCCAACATTCATAAGGAAGTCCGACATTTGATCTCCATATTCGACCTTCAGTTTTGTACTCTTATTTTTTACTAGAAATCATAGAAGTTGAGAATGATCCATTAGATCCTTTGCGCCATTCAGTTTGCTGCATGCAGAAGTGGCCGCTCTGAACACACGGCTCAGACGCTAATTACGGTAGGCCGGCCGGCTTGTCACTGCAAAATTCAGAGGTACTCCCTCTGTAAACTAATATAAGAGCGTTTAGATTATTATTTTAGTATTCTAAACGCTTTTATATTAGTTTACAGAGGGAGTAGAATGCAACAAACTCCCCAGAAAAGAGCAGAAGATTCAGCCACAGAACACACATGCACAACTGAATCTCGTCCTTCAGAAAGTGCCTCAGGAATCTGCGCGGCTTCTGCCCCCTCGGACCTCTTCCACCCCGCCCCTCCTATATAGCCCTCGCCCCCTCCACTTGGCACCGCGTACTCGCCTCGCGAACGCGACGCCGGATCTTGTCACGCGCGCGCACACACTCGCATCGTGGACTGCCTGCCATCGATCGCCGCCCGGCGAGGTAGGAGCATCATGGCGACGGAGGCGGCGCCGGAGTGGCTGGACAAGGGCGACAACGCGTGGCAGCTGGCGGCGGCGGCGCTGGTGGGGCTGCAGAGCGTGCCGGGCCTGGTCATCCTCTACGGCAGCATCGTCAAGAAGAAGTGGGCCGTCAACTCCGCCCTCATGGCGCTCTACGCCTTCGCCGCCACCATGGTCTGCTGGTGCCTCTGGGGCTTCCGCATGTCCTTCGGCGACCGCCTCCTCCCCTTCGTCGGCCGCCCCGACTTCGCCGGCCTCGACGCCGCAGGCTTCCTCTCCCGCCAGGGCTTCGCCGGCGCCTACCCGGCCGCCACGCTCCTCTTCTTCCAGTTCGTCTTCGCCGCCATCACGCTCATCCTCGTCGCCGGCTCGCTCCTGGGCCGCATGGACTTCCGGGCATGGATGATCTTCGTGCCCCTCTGGCTCACCTTCTCCTACACCGTCGGCGCCTTCAGCGTGTGGAGCCCCAACGGGTTCCTCTTCAAGGCCGGCGTCATGGACTTCGCCGGCGGCTACGTCATCCACCTCTCCTCCGGCATCGCCGGCTTCACCGCCGCCTTCTGGGTCGGCCCGAGGACGGCCAAGGACAGGGAGACGTTTCCGCCCAACAACATCATCCTCACGCTCGCCGGCGCGGGGCTGCTGTGGATGGGGTGGACGGGGTTCAACGGCGGCGCGCCGTACGCCGCCAACATCGACGCGTCCGTCGCCGTCGTCAACACACACCTCTGCACGGCCACGAGCCTCCTGGTGTGGCTCATCCTCGACTGCTTCGTCTTCGGCCGCCCCTCGGCCTTCGGCGCCGTCCAGGGCATGATCACCGGCCTCGTCTGCATCACCCCGGCCGCCGGGCTGGTGCAGGGCTGGGCGGCGATGCTGATGGGGCTCGTCTCCGGGAGCGTGCCGTGGTTCACCATGATGGTGCTGCACAAGCGGTGCCGGCTCCTGAGGCACGTGGACGACACGCTCGCCATCCTCCACACGCACGGCGTGGCCGGCAGCCTCGGCGGCCTCATGACGGGCCTCCTGGCGGAGCCGCGGCTATGCCGGCTCTTCTTCGGCGACGACCCGCGGTACGTGGGATTCGTGTACGCGGTCAGGGGCGGGCGCGTCTCCGCGGGGTTTCGGCAGATGGGCGTGCAGCTGGCCGGGATCGCGTTCATCGTGGCCCTCAACGTCGTCGTCACGAGCATCATTTGCCTGCTCGTCAGGGTGGCCGTGCCGCTCCGGCTCAGCGAGGAGCAGCTGGCGGCCGGCGACGACGCCATACACGGGGAGGACGCGTACGCGGTGTGGGGCGAGGGCGAGACGTACGAGCAGTCCGTGCATGGGAGCCGGCGATACCAAATGACGGCCAATCCTATGTCGTCCAAGGTTGATGAGATCATCTGAGCAGTCCTATGCATTTGTAAGATCGATACTAGTGCATTGTGGAGTATGTTTAACGGATTTGCTGTTTAGGGGTACTCCTAGATCCTAGTCTACCACGAACGAATGTCCAAGGAAATATTAGGAACGGCCACCTATACGGTCAAACCCACAACACTAGTTTTCGATCGTTGAAGCAGCCCGAAGGGGCTGAGCCCTAGGATCAACATATAGCTAGCGATCCTTATCTCCACACTTAATTGCATATAAGTATCACATTTGTGCCTAGGATAACGAATTGGTAGGAAATATAAGGTGTTTAGATCACTACTTTAGAGGGGGTATCAATTTTCTTTACGGAGGGAGGGAGTACTAGTTTTCGTTTTTTTTTGTTTGCAGATTAGTATCGAATTTGGGGCAGACCGCAACAAATCACATTGATTAGCGTTTGAACAAGTTTTGACAATCTATACCTAAGATGCAATCTTAATCAACAATGCATTATCCGTCTTACTTTCATATCGGTACTGATCCGGATTGGTACTGATCCGGATTGTGGATGAATATCTCAACGAAATCAGGATTAGAGACGAAATTAAAAACGGCTTGCCCGTTTCTTTGTACGTATTAAATCTACATGCAAGCCATGTTTAAATAGAAGACATGTGAAATCTTGAACTTGCGCTTTTGTATGCAAAGACCGTCTTTGTTTGGGCCGTAGCTACAAATACTCAAATTATAGACATTTCTTTTGTAAATTAAGAGCGTGTGGTATTCTTTTCTCCCGTTGCAACGCACGGGCCCTTTTGCTAGTGAAACTAATGAGCGGGGCCGACATGACGCGTCGCGTGCATGTTCTTTTGTAGAAAACCCACTTTACATTTGACTCGTGGCGCGTTGTGGGGAGTGCACCCCCGCGTACACTCGAATCTCACGACAACTCTTTTTGCAAATGAGGTGCATGATTAAATATAAAGTAAGGGGATTTTCTACAAAAGAACATGCACATGATGCACCACGTCGCCCCCCTGACAAGTGGCCCCCGCTGGTTAGCCTGTCAAAACCGGTTCAAACGTGATTCAATGCGATTTGTTGCGGCCTGCCCCGGACTCGGTACTGATCTCCAAAGATGATGAAAAGCGGTATCAATTTGTTACCCTAGGAACAAATGTGGTACTTCTGCAGTTAGGTCTCATCTATCGGGGCTTCTACCTGTGAATTGGTTCATCTGTCTGGTTCCCTGCTATGCTCTTCCACAGGTCATGCTTCCCAGTTCGGCCGCTCCCCCTGCCACACACACCTCCTTCGGTGGCTTGCGGTTCTCAATCTGGATACATATTGAAAGTGGGAGCAATTAGCTAGAGTAGCTCCGTGCAGAGCATTGTTGACATAGAAATTTGCAAAATACTTACGGATCTGAATGTGGCAGACCTGTTGACTAAACTTCTCTCACAAGCAAAACATGATCACACCTTAGTACTCTTTGGGTATTAATCACATAGCGATGTGAACTAGATTATTGACTCTAGTAAACCCTTTGGGTGTTGGTCACATGTCGATGTGAACTATGGGTGTTAATCACATGGTGATGTGAACTATTGGTATTAAATCACATGGCGATGTGAACTAGATTATTGACTCTAGTGCAAGTGGGAGACTGAAGGAAATATGCCCTAGAGGCAATAATAAAGTTATTATTTATTTCCTTGTATCATGATAAATGTTTATTATTCATGCTAGAATTGTATTAACCGGAAACATAATACATGTGTGAATACATAGACAAACAGAGTGTCACTAGTATGCCTCTATTTGACTAGCTCGTTGATCAAAGATGGTTATGTTTCCTAACCATAGACATGAGTTGTTATTTGGTTAATGGGATCACATCATTAGGGGAATGATGTGATTGACTTGACCCATTCCATTAGCTTAGCACTTGATCGTTTAGTTTGTTGCTATTGCTTTCTTCATGACTTATACATGTTCCTATGACTATGAGATTATGCAACTCCCGTTTACCGGAGGAACACTTTGTGTGCTACCAAACGTCACAGCGTAACTGGGTGATTATAAAGGTACTCTACAGGTGTCTCCGAAGGTATTTGTTGGGTTGGCGTATTTCGAGATTAGGATTTGTCACTCCGATTGTCGGAGAGGTATCTCTGGGCCCTCTCGGTAATGCACATCACTCAAGCCGTGCAAGCATTGCAACTAATAAGTTAGTTGCAGGATGATGTATTATAGAACGAGTAAAGAGATTTGCCGGTAACGAGATTGAACTAGGTATTGAGATACCGACGACCGAATCTCGGGCAAGTAACATACTGATGACAAAGGGAACAACGTATATTGTTATGTGGTCTGACCGATAAAGATCTTCGTAGAATATGTAGGAGCCAATATGAGCATCCAGGTTCCGCTATTGGTTATTGACCGGAGACGTGTCTCGGTCATGTCTACATAGTTCTCGAACCCGTAGGGTCCGCACGCTTAAAGTTCGGTGACGATCGTAATTAGGGTTTTTGTGTTTTGATGTACCGAAGGTTGTTCGGTGTCTCGGATGTGATCACAGACATGACGAGGAGTCTCAAAATGGTCGAGACATAAAGATTGATATATTGGAAGCCTATATTTGGACATCGGAAACGTTCCGGGTGAAATCGGGATTTTACCAGAGTACCGGTGGGTTACCGGAACCCCCCCCCCCCCGGGGTTATTGGGCCTACATGGGCCCTAAGGGAGAAGAGGAGGGCCGGCCAGGGCAGGCCGCGCGCCCCTCCCCCCTAGTCCGAATAGGACAAGGAAGGGGGGGCGATGCCCCCCTTTCCTCTTTCTCCCTTCCCCCTTCCTTTTCCAACAAGGCAAGAGGGGGGAGTCCTACTCCCGATGGGAGTAGGACTCCTCCAGGCGCACCCCTTGGGCCGGCCGCACCTCCCCCTCTCCCTCCTTTATATACGGGGGCAAGGGGGCACCCCATGACACACAAGTTGATCTTCGTGATCGTTCCTTAGCCGTGTGCGGTGCCCCCTTCCACCATATTCCACCTCGGTCATATCGTAGCAGTGCTTAGGCGAAGCCCTGCGTCGGTAGAACATCATCACTGTCATCACGCCGTCGTGCTGATGAAACTCTCCCTCAACACTTTGATGGATCGGAGCTCGAGGGACGTCACCGAGTTGAACGTGTGCAGAACTCGGAGGTGCCGTACGTTCGGTACTTGGATCGGTCGGATCGGGAAGACGTACGACTACTTCCTCTACGTTGTGTCAACGCTTCTGTTGCCGGTCTACGAGGGTACGTAGACAACACTATCCCCTCTCGTTGCTATGCATCACCATGATCTTGCGTGTGTGTAGGAATTTTTTTGAAATTACTACGTTCCCCAACAGTGGCATCCGAGCCAGGTTTTATGCGTTGATGTAATATGCACGAGTAGAACACAAGTGAGTTGTGGGCGATATAAGTCATACTGCTTACCAGCACGTCACACTTTGGTTCGGCGGTATTGTTGGATGAAGCGGCCCGGACCGACATTACGCGTACGCTTACGCGAGACTGGTTCTACCGACGTGCTTTGCACACAGGTGGCTGGCGGGTGTCAGTTTCTCCAATTTTAGTTGAACCGAGTGTGGCTACGCCTGGTCCTTGCGAAGGTTAAAACAACACCAACTTGACAAACTATCGTTGTGGTTTTCGATGCGTAGGTAAGAACGGTTCTTGCTCAGCCCGTAGCAGCCACGTAAAACTTGCAACAACAAAGTAGAGGACGTCTAACTTGTTTTTGCAGGGCATGTTGTGATGTGATCTGGTCAAGACGTGATGAGATATAAGTTGTTGTATAAGATGATCATGTTTTCTTGAAGTTATCGGCAATTGGCAGATGCCTTATGGTTGTCTCTTTATTGCATAAGATGTAAGTGCCAAATAATTGCTTTACTTTATCGCTATGCGATAGCAATAGTTGGCGAGACGACCATGTGATGACACATTGATATAGATCAAGATGATGGAGATCATGGTGTCATGCCGGTGACGATGGAAATCATGACGATGCTTTGGAGATGGAGATCAAAGGCACAAGATGATGATGGCCATATCATGTCACATATTTTGATTGCATGTGATGTTTATCTTTTATACATCTTATTTTGCTTAGTTCGACGGTAGCTTTATAAGATAAGCTCTCACTAATTATCAAGGTACAAGTGTTCTCCCTGAGTATACACCGTTGCGAAAGTTCTTCGTGCTGAGACACCACGTGATGATCGGGTGTGATAGGCTCTACGTTCAAATACAACGGGTGCAAAACAGTTGCACACGCGGAATACTCAGGTTAAACTTGACGAGCCTAGGATATAACAGATATGGCCTCGGAAGACAGAGACTGAAAGGTCCAGCGTGAATCATATAGTAGATATGATGAACATAGTGATGTTCACCATTGAAACTACTCCATCTCACGTGATGATCGGACATGGTTTAGTTTATATGGATCACGTGATCACTTAGAAGATTAGAGGGATGTCTGTCTAAGTGGGAGTTCTTAAGTAATATGATTAATTGAACTTTAATTTATCATGAACTTAGTCGTGGTAGTATCAGCATATCTATGTTGTAGACCAATAGCTCGCGTTTAGCTCCCCTGTTTTATTTTTGATATGTTCCTAGAGAAAATTAAGTTGAAAGATGTTAGTAGCAATGATGCGGATTGGATCCGTGATCTGAGGATTATCCTCATTGCTGCACAGAAGAATTATGTCCTTAATGCACCGCTAGGTGACAGACCTATTGCAGGAGCAGATGCAGACGTTATGAACGTTTGGCTAGCTCAATATGATGACTACTTGATAGTTTAGTGCACCATGCTTAAACGACTTAGAATCGGGACTTCAAAGACGTTTTGAAAGTCATGGACCATATGAGATGTTCCAGGAGTTGAAGTTAATATTTCAAGCAAATACCCGAGTTGAGAGATATGAAGTCTCTAACAAGTTCTATAGCTAAAAGATGTAGGAGAATAG